GCAACCGGGCAGGTTAAAAATAGACACAGAGCTAGAGGGATGACTCAGTGCCTAAGAGCATACATTGTTCTTCTGTAGGACCTGAGTTCAGATCCCAGCAACTTGGGCAGCTCACAAGCTCCGGGGGATCTGACAGTCTCTTCTAGCCTTGTGGGTGCCTACACACACACACACACACACACACACACACACACACACACACACACACACACACACACACACACACACAATAGAGAGAGAGAGAGAATTTTAAAAATTTTTCTTTAGAAACGTCTGTCTTGATCAAATGATCATCTCTGTATCTTAGAAACAAATCTGAGAACTCTTACATCGTAAAGACCTCACGTGTCCTGTGTACACTTATGCTAATCTTCCATAAATTCAATGAAGTTTAAGGGAATCTCATTTTGAGAGAAGACACAGGAAGTCATTTCTCGTCAGATGTGCATGTGTTTGTAAAAGGGAGTTAAAGGTTGACAAGCTACTGTCCATGTCACCTCGGGAAAGCTTCACCTGAGCAATCGATTCTTTCTCCAGATGAGCTTGAGACCCACAAGTGATGGCCTTTTGATCCTGAGGAAAAGGCAACACCATCATTCTTTTTAATATTTAAGTATCACACATCAATATATCCATTTTCAATGCAAATGTCTCACCTTTAGAAATACTTTGAAAAATAACACTATAATATTTGTAAAGTCTATTGAGGGGTTCAGAATATGCATTGCTTGCAGACTGCTAGTCATGCTTATTAAAAGGACTCTGCTGTGTGTGGTGGCGCACACCTTTAATCCCAGCACTTGGGAGGCAGAGGCAGGTGGATCTCTATGGGTTCAAGGCCAGCCTGCTCTACAGAACCTGTCTCTAAACAAAAGCAAGTTCAACTTTAGGTAAATTCTGACTTCACTTTTGAGCCCTGTGCTCCTGACTATCACGTGCAGTGAGTTCTTATACTCAGGCCATGGCTGGAGATCATTCAGCCCCTTTTCTAGTTTCTCAATATCTGGAAACTGTGGCTCCATCAGCATCAGCCATGAGGATCTTCTCTCCTGGAGAACTGATTAGAGCCTGTATTCACAAATTCCAGGAGAAAGAGAGTTGCTTAGAACTAAGTTCAAACTCGATGGCATTTCAGTTCATTCTGTTTTAAGACACCCAAGAGTGAAGTATTAGGAATAATACGGCAGAAGGAGGCCAAAGTTCACAGCTAAGCAGATAGGAAGTCCCCACATGTATCTACTGTCCATTTCATTGTTGCAAAAAGTTTCAGACTCCTCCTCCTAATACCCTGGAAAGTATCAAGTCTGAATACAGTCAACTTGGAGAAGAAAGGAAGTCCTCAGCACTAACACAGAAAGCAGGACACAGGTCACACCATCTATGTGTCCCATTGTGGTAACATTTGTAATCTATGAAATAAAACTTGCCTGAAGATGAAAGGACATAGCCAGCCACAGAGTTAAACATAGAGGTCAGGCAGTGGTGGCACACACCTTTAATCCTAGCACTCGAGAGGCAGAGATCTGTCTGGATCTCTGTGAGTTCAAGGCCACACTGGACTACATGAGATTGATCCAGTATAGGAGAGAAACAGAGCCAGGCAGTGGTGGCACACATCTTTAATCCTAGTGTTTGGGAAGCACACATGCTATTAATCCCAGCACTAGGAAGGTTGAGATAGGAAGTGAAATGGCTGAGCAGAGAAAGGCATATCAGGCATGAGGAGACAGGAACTAGAAGCCTTTCAGCTGAGGACTCAGGAGCATTCAGTCTGAGGACTCGTGGAGACAGGATAGGTTGAGGAGTTGGTGAGGTGAGAAGTGGCTGTGGCTTGTCTCTCTGATCCTTCAGCATTCATCCCAATATCTGGCTCCAGGTTTTTTATTATAAGACCATTTAGGATTCATGCAACACCCCAGGTTAGTGAGTCACAGTGTTCATGTAACTTGAGGCAACTTGAGCAACACAGGAAGGAACCTGTCCCTAAACCAAAATGACACATGTGCTCTGGATATGGCTGTGCATCTGTAATCCCCACTCCGGAGGTAGAAGCAGAGAATTTCCAGTTTAAGGCCTCATATTCTTTTTTTTTAATGCCGAATGCCATTTATTGAAGGAGGGAGGAGGTCTTAAATATAGACTTACAGCACAACGGGAGAACCCTGGAGAGCAGAAGTTCGCTACCGATGTTTTACAATCTTGCATCTAAGCTGTTAATGCCCATTATGCAGGATACACAGAAAAGGAACTTCCCTTAAGCATTCAGGAGGGTGGAGCCCAGCAGGGAATTAGCATAGGGAGGATATCAAGGTCAAGGTCAACAAGCAAGGCAACAGTTACCCAAAATGGGGGGGGGGGCTACAGGTCCCCCTTTTACTAAAAAATGAGCTTCTGACTTAGGTTGCATGGGACGTCAGCAGGTCACCTTACCCGTCATGGAGACGCCTGTCCAGGCCACACAGGTGCTCTGTCTTAGGTTGGTGAGTGCCCCCCCCAGGTATTACCCGTCTATGAATACTCATTATCATACAGGCTCAATTGTGTGTGAGCTTGCAGGGTTAACTGCTGCCAAAGATCTCCAAGTGGTGCTTGAGATTATTGGCTACTTTATTTATCTAAGACAAAATTCTATCTACATAGCTTCAGTTCCATTCTGACACTCGGTTCCTCTCTGTCCCTTCTTTTTCTGTCCTCTCACAGCCCTAAGTAAGCTCTTCTGCTATCAATCTCATCTTCGTCCTCTGTTCCTTTGTCTTCCATCTTTCCTTCCTCTCCTCCTCTCCTGACCTAATTCAAATCCATCTACAGTCTGCAAAAACTTTTCCTTGCTCCTTACTCCTCTGCCCAAGCCACTCTCACCCTACCATCTATAGAAACTCTGCCTTGCTTTCTTATTTCCAGCCAAGGGACTCTGCCCCAACCAGGAATTCTGCCTCAGCCTTCACTGTACCTGGTTACACAAAAGCCCTTTTGTCCTGAGTCAATAGCTCTGGAATACCACTAGGCCTGAATGAAAGGGATGGTCTGAGCTTCATTTGCACAAGACACAAAGTTATGCATCTACATACCTGCCTATCTCCTAGGCTGATCAGCAGTAGGTCTGAGAAGCTTATACTGTTTGCCATTAGGCCTAGTAGTATATGAGCACACAAGAAATTCATAGCAGAAGACAGCTGATATATTAAAAGCTGAATATCATAGAATATTCCTTGATATTTGACTTTCCTCTAGAAGAATTCCTTGAACCTTCTAAGTATAGCTTTAATATATACAGCTGATTCTCTATTTCATATATTTGCAGCCCGCAGCACCCGACTGTGAATGCTTTGTGACCAGCTGACTCACACTCCTGCCTCTGTGACTTCCATCACTGAGATCTGAGTTCAGGGCTTAGAAACTCCTTGCCCCCAACTGTACAGACAGCAAAGGGGGTACTTCTTGTTTGCCATGGCAATAGTGAGGCACCCTTCTTGACCAAGAAACACCCCAGATCAGGACTTGGATTGAAATGAAGTCTAGTCTTAACTGCAATTTTCTTTTTCTTTTTTCTTTTTTTTTTTCAAAACAGGGGTTTTTTTTTCATGTTGTTTTGGTGGTTGTCCTGAATCTCACAGAGATCTGCCTGGCTCTGCCTCCTGAGCACTGGAATTAAAGGCGTGTGCCACCACCGCCCGGCTGGAGTTTTCTTACTGTGTCTATTTTAACTCAAAGTATTCAAGCTTCCTAGTGTGTTCCTCAAGCTTTTAACTAAGAGCTTGTATAATAATTCCATTCATGGTATTTATAGTGGATTGTAAGACTAAGGAGACTAAGACATTGGCATTTGGAGGGAGGGCCTCATGGAACAGAAAAGATCCAGTAAGAGATCCGCTCTTATTCACTCATTGGATATTGATGAAGGCAACACAGTGATTCAGTGGGGAAAGTAAAGTTTGTTCAATAGAAGAAGGGAGGGGAGAAAGAGGAAGTGAGGGAACGAAAGAAGGAAGAGAAATGTAAAAGGGGGAAATTTTGAGGAAAGCTGGTTATTTATATGAAAATGGAAAATCATACTTCACCACTTACCATAGACACAACTCAATTCAAGATGAATAATAGACTCAGTAAAAGTTAAAACTATACTTTTAAGCTGGATGCGGTGCTGTACGCCTTTAACCCCAGTGCTGTGGGATGGTCTGTATGTCAAATTACTCTGATTGGTCAATAAATAAAACACTGATTGGCCAGTGGCTAGGCGGAAGTATAGGCGGGACTAACAGAGAGGATTAAAGAAAGAACAGGAAGGTGGAAGAAGTCACTGCCAGCCGCCGCCATGACAAATGGCATGTGAAGACGCCAGTAAGCCACAAGCCACATGGCAAGGTATAGATTTATAGAAATGGATTAATTTAAGCTATAAGAACAGTTAGCAAGAAGCTTGCCACGGCCATACAGTTTGTAAGCAATATAAGTCTCTGTGTTTACTTGGTTGGGTCTGTGTGACTGGCGGGTGACAAAAATTTGTCCTGACTGTGGGCAAGGCAGGAAAACTCTAGTTATACCCCAGCACTTTGAAGGCAGAGGCAAATGGATCTCTGTGAGTTTGAGGCCAGCCTGGTCTACAAAGCAAGTTCTAGGACAGCCAGGGCTACACAGAGAAACCCTGTCTCAAAAAAACCAAAAAACACAAACAAAGCAAACAGAAAAAAAAAAAACTATACTTCTAGCATAGAAGAAAATACAGCAGAATATTTTTGGTAACCTGGGAGAGGGGAGGGTAGGCAACTGTCTCCTAAAGAGGACACAGAAAGCAATGAACAAAAAGTGAATAAATGAAAAACTTCAAAATTAAAAATACACCTTTAAAATATTTCCAACTAAAACCATATAACCACAGGTGGGAGAAAATATTTGTAAAGCACGTGTCTGTTAGAAGAATATGTCTGGGACATTCTAACAATTCCTACAACTCCACACAACAGCCCAACAGGGAACTTGGAGACAACATATTTTACTCAAACTTCAAATGTAACAGAAGAATCATTTAATGATTTTGAAAGGTAACATTCATTGGCATATAAACTTGTGCATTAAAAGGGAAATCATATAAAAACCAACATCTCTTTCCTTTATTAACCATACCCTACTTAATACAACAGTTTGGATAATAATGAGTAACTAAAAATCACACAAAAAAAACCTGAATTACATATAATTATTATTATTTTTTATTTCACAACCTTAAAAAATATAAACCATTAGGTATTTTGAAAAACATACACAAAATAATCATTTGGCATTTACAATATTAAAAAGTGAACGAAAATGGGCCACACTGTACAAGACAAAATGACCTCTGTTGGGAGAATGGACCGGGGGTCAAGGGCACGTGGTGGATCAGCACTGCCATTTTTCCCAGGGTCTCGTGTCACTAAAACCCATCCCATTTGGTTCAAGAAGACATGCAATAGGTAGAGGGTAACATTTTTGATTTAGTTCCAACACACTAATTTTCCTTTTCCTCAAGGAGACAAACTCAATGCAAGAAGAGCAGTGAAGCCCACGGATGTGGAGCATGTGGCTGGCTGCCACCTCCTCCTCTAGCTCTAAAACACACCCGAGAGAGAATGGTATGAACAGTGCATACAAAAGCCACCATCCCCATGTGGCTGTCTCAGGTGAAATTAAGTAAAATTTAAACTCTGCTAGCCATATTTCAGTGTTTACTAGACACATGTGACTAGTAGTTGCCGTATTGGGCATCACAGATATAGAACAGTTCCATATCACAGAAAGTTCTTTTGCACAGCTCTGGGTGTGGGAAGTGTTTCTTCTCCCTCTGCTTGGCCAGTACGTAGGCTGTGAGTAGAAGCAGCTCAAGAGGCGATCTCCCAGGATATTCCTAGATTGAGAGTAGAGTCGCAGAAGGAAGAGAGGTAGCGTTTCTGAGCACAGAGTGCCTTCTTCTGTGTATGAAAGGGATGGCCTTTATGGGGATCAAATACACAAACTTGGTTACCACCAAAATGTAATGAACATGAAAATGATGGAGCAGATTAAAAAGGAGCAAAAAAAAAAAAAAAAAAAAAAAAAAAAACAACCCCATTTGATCCAACAACAAACATCCACAAAAACATAGTGAAACCCCCACTACACGCACAAACACAAATGTGCAGGCTTTCAGGATACTTGATTAGAAACTCCTGGTGCAGGGGAAGTTAGCTGCCCAGAGAGAAGCCA